TGTGTGCGAGCCTGGGAGAAACTCTGCCCGTGCTCGCCCCACAGGTGGGACGTTGACCTCACCCCGAGGTCTGCGTGCGCCTGGTGCGGCGCTGGGCTGCTGTCGCCACACAGAGATAGTTTTATTAAAAGACAACAAAAAGCAGGACTACTTCATTTGTTTGTTTGGATTTGCCATCTGTCCTCGAGGAAACAGCTCTGCTTGGGCTGAAACGTGAAAAACCGTTATGCCACTGATAAGCTGCAGCCAGCCGGGCGTCCAATCAGAGCAGACACTTTGTCAGAGCCACGCACTTGTGTCCCGCCAGACGTGTTTAACGTGGTTTTAATCGTGTGTGGTTCTGAAGCTTTTATAATGTAACTTTCAGGAATATCCGGGTTCTTGTCCGAAGCGTTCCTTCCTGACATCTCCGCGTCTCCCCCTCCCTCCCTCTCATCAGTTTGGTGATCGGAATGAGAAACGCGAGCCGCACAGAGACACCCTTCTCTCAGCTTTGCCTCTATAGTCGCTGTCGCTATGACGACAAAGGCTTTTCGATTAGGAGTGCCGGGATGCACGGGGGCGTGTGATGCTTTTGCCGAATGAGCGCCTGCTCCTCTTCTCTGTGTGATGGAGACGGAGAAACTTGAGAACAGTGATTCCACTTTTCTTCCACCAAAGGTTTTGAGAATTTTTATCTTAATAAACACCTTTTCTTCTTTTCTTTTAAACATTTATTCTTTGATTCTGTTGCAAATTGCATTCAAATATCTGTTTACAAATAATGCAAACAAGTACTTTTTTGTAGTACTCTGCCAATATCCATTGATTAACTGAGTACTAGAATACTCATCATGTGCAAAACTAACAGCATTAGAAAGTGAAAGGTGAAAAACATCCTACTCCACTCATTTTTATGTGTTTAGCGCCTTACAGACGTGTTATATGCCACCAAGGCGCTTTAGACGGACAATAAGAACACCACAAAACCATAAAACAGGATGAAAACACAGGTTTTCAGCCTGGTTTTAAAAACTGCCATGGAGGAAGAAGCCCTTATGCGGTGGGGAAGCTCATTCCAGAGCTTTGGACCTGCTACCGCGAAAGCCCTGTCCTCGCGCGTCTTCAGCATTGACATATAAATATTGGACAATATTGGTTTCCATAGGCTCCAATAACACGTTTTTGAGGCGAAATGGGAGGTGGCCACCACCGCCATTTTGACCGTGTCACAGGTTCCGTCAAGCCCAGACAATTCCATAAAAGGGAAGAGAGGAGGAGCTGAGGGTGGGGCTGTAAGGCTGGGATCAACTGACACCCGGTCGAACTAGCTACAAGCTAACCTGAAGCTAACCCAAAGCTAACGTGGAGGTGGGAGCTAAGCTAACGGAGGTAGCAACCTAGCTACAACCGGAGTTAACTGTGCACAACACCAGAGCTTCTGAGTCAGAGATACGCCGGGCTGACGGCTGGGTAAAACCGGGTGGAACACAGAGGTCTCCGAGAGCTCCACAAGCCGGCAGCCGCACAGCAGACAAGCGCCGCTGCAATCTGAGATGCGCAGAGCTGCCGCTGGGGAGAACCGGGTGGAAAGGTTTCCATCCCAGAGCTCCACAAGCCGGCAGCAGACAGAGATGGACCGAGCTGCGGGGAGGAGAGAAACGGGTGGAAAACATCGGTCTCCCGAGAGCTCCACAAGCCGATAGTCAGAACCCAGCTCCACCAACATGTTATATTTCAACCCATTTTCTAAAGTGCAGCATTATGTTAAATGCACTGGGTTTTACCCTATTACATTTAAATTTCATGGTTAAACAGTACATGTTAAAATCTAAGCTCAGCTCGGCAGTGACCTAAAATACATAAATATAATTTTATTTACCGAAAAAAATGAAGTGGAGACTCCTTGGACGCTCTATTAGTGCAATTAATGCTACAGCAAGTCATGTTGTCCAACAATTGCACAAAAAATATCCAAAACAGAATACACAAAAGCTACAACTAATGGTCTAAGTTGAGAGACTCAAAATGCCGGAGCAGTTTCCAGGCCAGACCGAGGCTCTACTGAGGCCTTTCCACGGAGCTAGCTCTGTGGTCACGTGGGTCTGATGTTCATTAATTATACAGAATTTTAGGCTTTTAATACACTTAAACAGAAGAGTGAGAAAAAAATTCACCCCCCTCAGAGTTGTCATGAGTGTAAACTAGATCATTTAAACAAAAACATGTTCTGGTACCAGGCTGTAAACATGTTTATTTCTGCTGTGAAATTGGTATTTTTAACATGGGAGTCAATGAGGATTTGCTCGCTTCTGACACCAGCCCCTAGTGGATGAGGGTGGAACTGCAATTTATTTCATTTCCGCGTTGGCTTCAATTTTTCACCCGCATTGTGGGGGCTTGGTCTTCAGCCGTGATCTTGGGATCAATAGCAATAGGAGCCGTAGTCTCAACGGAGTGATCACCATGGGACTTTAGGCAGGTTTTTGGGACTACCAGGTGCATCTGACCTTATGAGCTTAGGCAACATTCGGGGGTGTAGATTTGCACCAAATAGGGTAAAAATGAGGGTGATTGACCATGTAAGGCTTTAAAAGTTAAAGATATGATATTAGATCCTGGTCCTGGTAGGTTCACTAGTTGGTTACCTTGTAGTTTTTTTTCTTGAGGTTTGGTTTCTGTTCACACAGAAAAAAAAACAGTTTGCTCATTGGTCAGATGCGTGTGTTGGCGGGACTTCCAGACATCAGAAGAAGGTGATGAGGGAGCTACCTGGAAGCTCCTCACCTGCATGTGCCCGCCTGCATGTCTGGCTCACATTAGCAGTGTAAACCTGGTAGCTGTGTCTGAATTTGACAATATAAACCAACTGTTTCCTGAAAACCAACTGCTGTGAGATACTTATGAACCTCTTTGGGCTCCACTTGGACTGGTCAGTAGCCCATCAGTCCAATAATAAACGGTCATAATCATGATAAATGTCCTTAGCTGTTATACAGAACAGCACTTCCACTCTAAATCATGCTTCTGATCAATTACCTAAATAACAGAAATGTTTTGGATGTTTGAAGAACTCCTGATCGACATCTTTTTCCAGTTCTCCTTGCACTGACTGTTCCGTTTTCTAGCTGTAATTCTGCCTCTTGTATGTTCTCCTAAGGAATTATTTCGCTATAATTGCAGTGTTGTCTTCCTGCTGTGTGGCTAGCTGCAGGCTGCTAAAGTACTCACTGGAGGGTCTGCGTTTTCCCCTCATCTTAGCGTGGTTTAGCTTTAGCTTCCTGCAGTTCGGATCTCATCAGGTCTCGTCTTTCCCGGCAGTTCCCTTTCTATCCCGAGTATTTTGTCTTTGGTTTGGTGACACAAGGGTCGGGGCTAATCACAAACCCTTTTACGTGCTAATTAATAACTAATCAGTTCATTGGAAAGCGAGGTGTGGGCACGTGTGCTCGCCTCCCCGTTCACCAGGAATGTGACAGAAAGTGATGCGTACCAGATGTTTTAGGAATGAGTCGGGTTTCACTGGAGCGTCACACATTCCCAGGGATGTTTGTGGAAAGACGTGCGTGGAGCATGTTCTGCACCCCCCCTCACCCCGAAACGCCCGTGCTTCCAGCCTCAGCGACTGTTTACGCTCCCTCCTCCGTCTGGAAGCTCACGTTTGATCAAACGAATGCGTGACGCTGGTGATTTGTGTGTTTTGTGGGCACGGTACTTAAAGGTTTTGACAGGTAAACAGTTGTAACTGGAAGCCAGAGTGATTCAGAGTGACGTTTAGTGTGGAGTGTGTGTCTGGGTATGTGTGGCATGGAGCAGACTGCCAGAGGAAAAGGCATCAGCTGATGAGTGAGTAGCTTAAGCTGCAGCCTGCTACTAAGGGTGTGCCCGTTGTGTATGTCTGACAGTAAAGTTGGAGCACGCCCACCTGGACAGTGGACACGCTCAACTCCCGTTATCAGTCATTTCTGATGGTTTCTGGCATCATTTGTCACAGATTGTCAAACGGTCTTCCAAACGATTGGTCGACTGTTCCTTTGCAGCTCTTCTATTGGTCCCAGTGATGACAAGCTCATCATCAAGAGGCGTGGCTTTTAAATAGCCTCTGTTAGCTGTGCTGCAGGAACAGGTTTATGCAGCTGAGAGCACGGCGGAGCGGCTACATGTGTCGGGTATCGTGTTGGCTCCATTGAAGAAAATAAAGGAATGGCAGCGATGAGATCATTAATACGATGTCCCACGGCGGCTTCGCCTTGAATCGTTCCAGCTGCAGCTCCGAGGGTTGGCAGGCAGATGTTCCAACTCCAGCAGGATCAGATACCTGCCTTTGAAACTCCAAACGCTGTTTCTGCTGCAACTTTTCTAATCTTTGTTAAAACTAGAGTCAAACTAATTGATACCTGCACAACTTGGAGTGTTTTTCTGAGTAACTGCCGTGCAGAATAAATAGTTTCCATGTGCCTGACTCACTGGCTGTAACTCCAGACACCCAGGTGGTTAGTGAGCTTCCTCATCAATCCATCACAGGAGGGAGTAAGTGGTTCTGCTTCATCTCTCCTCCTCTAACAGCAAACCAGCAGGATCCAACGCGCCGCTTCAGGCAGACTGCTTGTGATGGAGAAACCGTGACTAAACATCTCCTCCTCCAGCTCCACGTCTGAAGAATAATAAAAACATTCACCGCTTTGTTTTCCCTCTTGTGATATTTGCTAAAACGTTGCTGCTTTATGTATTTTTGGTGACTTGTAAGCATTCCTCATCATCATCCTGGGTTGTAAACGAGCAGAAAAGCTAGAAGAGAAGTTATTTTGGGTCAAACTTGGTTTCAGTTCATTACTGTTTGAGTAATTTAAAGATTTTCTGCTGTAATTGAAAGAAAAAACATAATCAGCGATTAGGAAAAAGGTTTTATTCAAGCTTTTTTACATTATTTATCCTGCAAAAGAATGCACTCTGCTGTTTCATTACCTGTCAAGTAGATATTTGGATCTTAATCTAATGCTTGACTTTTCTTTCTTTTCTAGTCTTGTGTGCCAAAAACCTGGCGAAGAAGGACTTCTTTCGTAAGTATTTGCCTGTTTGTCGTGAACGTTTAGCAAGTTTCAACTGTTGATCTCCTTTAGACACATCAACAGTAGAGCCCTGCACTGAAGCCCTAGGCCCTCGGGTCGGCCCGGCCAGACGGCCCGAGGGCCTAGGGCTTCGGGCCAACGACTGTGTAATTACCTCGGACACGACCCGGGCCGGGCGCCTTTATTTTGAATCGAATTCATTAAAAAAAATTGAAACACAAACGCAGCAGTAGAGCCCTGCGCGGGACTGTTTTCTTCATCCCGCTCCCGCTGAATTTCTGACCATTACCTCCTGCAACTGCAACATGTGCGTTACACTCCCGCCCGCACCCGCAGCGTGCATGTCTACTCCCGCCTGCAACCGCACAACTCTGAGAGATTATTACCTCACAATAAAAGAGATGTATCAAGTTTGCGTCCTCTCTGGTCCTGGAGAAAACATGTCACAACCCGCGGCTCTTCCATCCATCTGATGCGGCTCTCTGTGCTTGTAAAATAATGAATGGATATTTAAATAAAATGCTTTATATTTTACTGATTTAATTTTATATCTGTAAGTCAATTCGATGTAAAGATTGTCTGCGTAAACCTGAACAGGTCCAACCCGGTCTTACTGTGAGACCGGGTTGACGGGTCACGCTTGTGCGTAATCATATGCGCTGTCTGAGCTGAAGAGATTCTGGGATTCTCCTCCTGGATGTGTCGCCACATTGGAGACAGGAACAAGCACTATTCAGCCAAAGTTTCATAATCAGGGAACATTTTCTAAGTGACAAGTCTCTCTGAGCGATTGGAAAACGCTCGCTTCAGTGGGAGGAACTTTCCCGCATGCGCTCTGGTTCTGCAATGCGCTCCAAACCCCTCTCCACAACTTCAGCTCGCTGTGCACATATGCGCTGACAGTGAGCTGCGCTGAGCAGCTCAGATGTTCAGATGGGAATCTTTTCTTGGGTGATTTAGCTACATCTGCGATGTGTGTAACGAATAAAGTGTCGGTTCGTCTGCATGCGTCGGGGTAATTCTTTCTATTCTTTCTCCGTCAAAATAAACGGTCAAATACGGGAACTATCCGGTCAACTCAAGCCCTGCTTTTAACTGTTTTGTTTTCTTGTGAAAATTGTTGCAAAGAGATAAAATTTAACTTGATTAACACCAGAGCCAGTGCGCCGTTATCTCCGTGACGGTAAATGAGGGAAAAACAAATTGATCGGATCCTGCACGTCTTTTAACACATTGGTCAGGATTGACGCACTTTTCATTTAGTTGGTTAAAAAAAAAAGTCGGGCTCGGGCCGGGCCAGAGAATCCTGAAAACCTTTTCGGGCCGGGTCGGGCTGGGGCTCCACCCCCTCGGGCCGAGCCGGACACGGGCTCAGATTTTAGGCCCGTGCAGGGCTCTAATCAACAGCTCCCTAAAACCATTTGAACAGATGTTGTGTTTTCCCATCATTTAAAACCAAAACGACCAAACCCTAAAACCCACAAGAGTCTACATGGAACAGTTTTGCTGCAGGACTGCTGACCAAACTGGTAGACGTATCAAACGGGCTGCCATGGTGAGTGATCACCCATAGGTCCCCTGCTCAGTCAGGTGGTTTCTGTGGTGCCCATTCCTGCCATTCCAACCCTCTGGAGCAGAGCAAACACTCAGGGTGTTTCTCAGTGTCAAGGCGCCTGGCCTTGCGAAGCGATGTCTTGTGAGGCCAGGCGCCTTGCTTACGAGGACACTGTCCTTCCTTGGTCAAAGAAAATGGTTAAATGGAACAGACTTGCATCACGTGACACGGGAGATAACGTTATATTTTATACTTATAAATATCTAATGAGTCTTTTACTTTTTAAATTGTGTATATGTTTATTAAATTAAAAATATAATTGAGTTACAACCTGCTAGCCACCGAAGCTGCAACTACTAAGCAACTAACCAACCACAGATAACTTGTTTGGATTAAAAAAAACGTTTTAAATTAGCTGACTTACTTCTAAACTTGAAAATTGTCCCCGAAGTAGCTGCCGGCTTCTGATGCGCTGTCCTTTTGAAAATGCCGCGGTGCATTGTGGGTTATTTTTGACCAAGGCTAGGCTACAAGACACCTCCCGTGTATCCTTGCTCAGCTAGCTAAACGGCTAACAAACGAAAACACACACCTCGGTAGATCATGAACATTGAAATACGTCTTGGCGCTCCTGATGACGTATCTCCTTGGCAACCGGGGCGGGGTCAAGACATCAGGGCGAGGTTCCGTGGCATTGAGAAACACCCTCAGTGACGTTACAGATAAAGCTTTCTGTTTACTCACGGGCTATAATTTGCTTAACGGGCCTGTGAAAGGACAGCTAAATGAAGTGCAGCTAGCAAGTCTGTGAATTTGTTCTGACACATTTGTGATTTGATGTGGAGAAAGTTCTTTTAGGGCTTGAAACATCCGTTCACCTATTTACAGATTGGTCAGATTTTTTAAGTACGTTTCTGCGAGAAGTTTTTCTCAGACAGCGCCATCTAGAGGTGGACAAATGTATCGCACCTCAATGATATATGTGCACAAATTTTACTGTAAAATAATCACAACACAGGCTAATGTCTCGGGGGGGGGGGGGGGGGGGGGGGGTCGGTTCTTCTTTGAAAAAAATCAAAAGACTGACGTAGTCTCTGTTTACGATCTGTGAGCCCGCAGGGTTGCCAGGTCTGCGCTGGCAAAGACCTCCAGAGTTGTTTAAAGAACCAAAGCCAGCAAACAGGAGCGACCCAGAACGTATTTCTTGTACCCCTAAGAAGCCACGGCATCTTTTTTTTTTTTTTACTCTAATATCAGGTGAGGCTAGCTAGAGGCAAATGTTGAGCTAACAATGCCAACGGTGAATTAGAGGGAAAAAGTCGGCTCTAAAAATACCTCAACTCGATATTACAGTGAAATATATTTATCTACTTATCAACTTACCGTGTATGACTCATCTCCGCTCGTCGTCTAGAGGCTTTTGGTGCTGATCTGTAGCTGGCAACAGCCATGAAACTCACGGAACGGGAGTGAGATAATTTTTCGTGTGTTTGGAAAATGGGCTGCAGTACCAAACTATGACCACAGGATGTCACTTTTGCACCATACACCCTAAAACCCTCCCTTCTTCTGTGATCACGGCTGAATGTGACGCCTCTCGTTCATGAACACCCACCTCTAGCCGGCCAGCAGAGCTAAAATGAATTATTTTACAATTATTTAGTCTACAAATCTAGATCATCAGCTGCCGGAGCAACAAACCACAAAAGACCTGTTGCCTACATTATATCACAGTACAGGTATCACTTTTACAGATTTCTAAAACTTCCTAGATAATTCCTGAAAGGGGAAATCTCTGGGTCGCTGTTGTAAATCTGATCGGACGGAGGAGCTGACACTTTAGTTGACCTTACATGAATAAATGCTGAAACCGTCTGAGATTCCTCACAGCAGGGAAAAATGGGATAATTATTCTCTCCTTTCAGGCCTTCCCGATCCCTTTGCCAAGGTAGTCGTTGACGGTTCGGGGCAGTGCCACTCCACGGACACCGTGAGGAACACCCTCGACCCCAAGTGGAACCAGCACTATGATCTGTGAGTCCCGCCACATTAAGATTTTAAACAGGAGCTCCTGCATCGGGCCTCTCGGCGTGTGGATGATTTGCTGCGACATAAAGGCTCAGTCTAAAAATGTCCCCCGGAACATCGTTTGAGGAATTAGAGGTCTGCCTCTCCAAATAGCATTTTCCTCCTCCGACTGAACCACGTGCATGTTTTGTTGTACCCCGATGGCCTTTTCCCAAAGATGGTGCGTCCCGTGAAAGCGACCTGGAAAAACTGGAGACGGAGCGTGTGAGTGAAAGAGTGCGAGTGAAACTTTCCAGTAGTCGCCCAGTGTTTATCCAAACCATCGCTCATGGCCAACAACGGGAGGAAGCACGGGTCTAAGTTGTGTTTGGTTGTCGTGGAGACCAGACCCTCTCTTCCTCCATCTCTCTCTTTTTCTCTGCGCACGCACACCTTGGGGGGGACAGTCTGGCTGAGAGGAGAACCGCTCAGTGGAACGTCTCTGCTCTGATTTGTCCCACGAGTCTGCAGACACGGTTGACTGGGATTTATGTGGAAGTGACTTTCCTGTGCTGGTGATGCATTTACCATCAACATGGCTGGCGTGTATGCTCTGGTGGCCAGCAGAAGGAGGAGGAGGAACGATTTAACCATCCGACTAGCTGTCCGCCGTCTTATTAAAATAGGCCGTCCAGCTCTTGGTATTCTGATTGCAGCCTTAGCTGCTGGCAGTGGATCTCTTTTTCCGTGTGTGTGGTTTCATTGGTGCACCCAGGCCCCCACAATGGAGCTCTAAAATTGAGTCAAACCCGGAAGTACCAAAAATTGCAGTTCACCCTCATCCACTGGGGGCTGGTGTCAGAAGCGAGCAAATCCTCATTGACTCCCATGTTAAAAACACCAATTTCACAGCAGAAATAAACATGTTTACAGCCTGGAACCAAAACATGTTTTTGGTTTAAATGATCTAGTTTACACTCATGACAACTCTGAGGGGGGTGAATTTTTTTTCTCA